GGACTGGTAATCCAGAGACCCAGTTTTGAATACCACCACAACAGGCAGTGGAAAATTGAATTCAGAAAACAGAAACTTGAATTAAAAGTCTAATGATGGCCATGAAATCATTGTCAATTTTTGTAGAGGCTCATCTGGTTCACTGATGTCCTTTTAGGCAAGTAAATCCGCTATCCCCGTCTGGTCTGACGTAAATGTGACTCTGAACTCTCACCAACATGCTTGACTCATAAGTGGTCTTGAAATGGCCTGAGCAAACCACTTAGCTTTATCTGACTGCTAAAAAGTCACAAAAAGTAATGGTTCAGATGTCATGGTGGTTCAGTGGCTGGCACTACTGCCTCAACGTCAGGGACCTGGGTTCAATTCCACCCTTAGGCAACCATCTATGTAGTGTTTTCACATTCTCCCCATGTCTGCATGGATTTCCCCTGGGTGCTGCGGTTTCCTCCTGCAGTCCAAAGATGTGCAAGTTAGGTGGATTAGCCATGGGAATTACAGAGTTACAGTGAAAAGGGTAGGGGGTGAGTTGGAGTGGATTGCTCTTTAGTGGGTCGGTGTGGACTCGATGGGTCGAATGGCCTGCTTCTACTCTGTAGGGATTCTATGGATATGGAAGTTAGAGAACTTGGAGAAATAATGACATCTTGAAAAGTGTCCACATTACAGAGGAGGAGGTGCTGGACATCTGAAAATGCATAAAGGTGGATTAATCATTGGGACCTGATCCCACAACTTTGTGAGAAGCTAGGGAATTGATTGCTGCGCCTCTGGCTTAGATATTTGTATCATAGATAGCCATGGGTGAGGTACGAGAAGACTGGAGGTTGGCTAATGTCATGCCATTATTTTAGAAAGGTGGTAAGGAAAAGCCAGGGAACAATAGACTGGTGAACCTTATGTCAGATGGAGGCGATCTTGATGGATAGGATGTACGTGTATTTCAAAAGGTAAGGACTTGGGATAGTCAACATAGCTTTGTGCATGGAAAATTGTGTCTCACCTAACTTGATTGACTTTTTTTGAAGAAGTGACCAAGAAGATTGATCAAGGCAGAGCGGTGGACATTGTCAGTACGGACTTTATTAAGGCGTTTGACAAGGTTCTGCATAGTAGACTGGTTATCAAGGTTAGATCACAAGGAATCCAGGGAGAGCTAGCTATTTGAATACAAAATTAGCGTCAAGGTAGGTGACAGTGGGTGGTGGTGGAGGGTTGTTTTTTGGACTGGAGGCCTGTGAACACTAGTGTGCTGCAAGAGTCGGTGCTGGTTCCACTGCTTTTTGTCATTTATCTAAATGATTTGAATGTGAATATAGGAGGCATAGTTTGCAGATGACACCAAAATTGATGGTGTATTGAACAGTGAAGAAGGTTATCTCAGAGTACAATGGGACTTTGATCAGATGGGCCAATGGGCCGAGGAGTGGCAGATAGAGTTTAATTTAGATAAATATGAGGTCTTGCATTTTGGTAAGGCAAATGGGGGCAGGAATTATTCAGTTCATGGTAGGGTCCTGGGGAGTGTTGCCAAACCAAGAAACCGAGGGGTACAGGTGCATAGTTCCTTGAAAGTGGAGTCACAGGCAGAAAAAGTAGTAAAGAAAGCGTTTGGTATTCTTGCCTTTATTGGTCAGTGCATTGAGTATAAGAGTTGGAACATCATGTTGCAGCTGTACAGGACATTGGTTAGGCCACTTTTGGAATACTGCGTTCAATTCTGGTTTCCCAGGTTTAGGAAGGATGTTGTGAAACTTCAAAGGGTTCAGAAAAGATTTACAAGCATGTTGCCAAGGTTAGAGCTATGGGGAGAGGTGAATAGGCTGAGGCTATTTTCCCTGGAGCATCAGAGGCTGAGGGGTGACCTTTATAGAGGTTTATAAAATCATGAGGGGCATGGATAGAGTGAATAGCCAAGGTCTTTTTCCCTGGGGCTGGGGAGTCTAAAACTAGAGGGCATAGGTTTAAAGTGAGAGGGGAAATATTTAAAAGGGGCTGTAAGGGTCAGCTTTTCGACGCAGAAGGAGCTGCATGTTTGGAATGAACTGCCAGAAGAAGTAGTGGAGGCTGGTATAATTGCAACATTTAAAAGGCATATGGATGGGTCCATTGGAAAGGAAGGGTTTAGAGGGATATGGGCTAAGTGCTGGTAAATGGCACTAGATTAATTTAGCATATCTAGTTTGCATGGATGAGTTGGACCAACAGTTGAGTTACTGTGCTGTACAATTCAATGACACTATGACTTACTCCTTCAAATTGAGCCCTTGCATTGTCCTTAAAATCTAATACTATTAGTAATAATTTCTCTGGAATCCTTCTCTGGACTTCTGTCTTCTTCCCCTTTATAAATAGTAAACCTGAAATAAAAATGTTTCAAATTTATAAGCAATAAGCCAAGTATAAATACTCACCTGACCTTGCCCTATCAGCTAATTCCTGTTGCCAGTGTCACTTTTTGATACACTTTCGAGATTGCTTCACTGCGATGCTGCTTCAGGATGTTTTTCCCCAAACTGCTTTAATATAGTGCTACCTGCAGAACACTCTCTTCCCAAACTGCTTCACCACAATACCAACTGTGGGATTCTCTTCCAAACTGCTTCACTATGATGCTGCTGCAGGATGCTTCCCAGCTATATGCACACAGTCAAATGGAGACTGATGAGTGTGAGGAAGTGAGATACAGTGTCCAATTAGAATGAGACATGGAAAGTAGTTACAGGGCTGCAGTGTTTGCTGAGAATCCAAGGACGAAACCAATGAAGCACAAAAAACAGGAGCATGCATTCAAACCAAGCTATGACTGAGCAGTGAGAGTGGCTGCGTTTGTGCTTCACGCTGCACAAAGATTGAGTCACAGTAAGCAATCTTGCATTTGATGTTTCTCGCATGCTTAGGATGACCCAAAGAGCCTCACAACCAGTGACTTACTTTTGAAGAATAGTCCATTGAGGATCACAGAAAGAGCTAATACAGTGCAAGACATGTAATCTGAGTGAACGATTTACAAGCAAGCCATGTTAAGAGAGAAGTGTATGTGTGTGAAGATAGACCAGATACCACAGATACCAGTAGAGTGGGAGAAACAATGTGCATACACATACTGCTATCACCAAACATTTCGTGAGCGACTACATGATTTGCAAAGACAGGATGAATCACAAGAGCCACAGAAGAGAGAAGAGGAGGGCGTATTTTGTGCTTTGTAATTTATTTGTGGTGCTCACTTGCTATTTTGTTGATTTTATATGGTTAGCATCCTCTATACTTCTGTGCTTTTGGTCAGTCTTGCTGAATAAGAGTGCTGTAGAAATGTAAACATTCGGACATCTCTGAAGTCAGGGTTTTGACAGGGTATCTGCAGTTGAGGATTTTCAGTTCGTGCATTGGAAATATTATTTGAGCGATTGATAAATTGAGTTGATTTTTTAATGCAGATCTTGTGATTTTCCCCTGTTGGATTTTCATCTGTGTTAGGCCGAAGTGTCTGTTTCCATGCTGTGTAACTCTGTATACTTTTTAGAGTTCTTAAGGAATCTAAACAAAATATAATTGGGAGATGTATTTATGCAGTGCAAATTTGTGGGATGTATTGTGCGGTAAAAATTTGGTTTAAGGAACAGCAAAAACAACCCATTGATGGATGGGAAGAAAATAAAAGATGTCAAAGTCACATTGTCGGATGACAGTCATGATCGATGCAACTAATGGTTTACCAAGAAAATTATATTCTTGTTATGGTACTTAGGGGTAAATTTAAGCTGATTTGAATATATATTGCAATGTGTGTCTGCGTGTATATATTTTTTCAGATTCTTTGAAGCAGGGCTTGGATCACGTGAAAGAAAGCTGTTACTTTTATTAATTGAACAATGGAGTATTCCACATATCTTGACTTTGTGTTGGTAAAGGCGGCACGGGTGCACATGGATGTAGAATTGTGGCTAATTTCAGTGTAATAAAAAGGGAACTGACAAAATAATAGACAAACAGTGGGAATTGTTTAAACAGGAGATGATGATTAAGGTACAGGGAAAAATACTCCTTACAAGAAACGAAGAGCTAATGCTAACATGGTGTAGCAAGCATTGGTTAGTTAGTAGTGACAGTGTTGTGCTCACTTTTGGAAAGTCTAAGAAGGATGTCTGGATGCACTGTATCATGTTCAGTTAATTCTTTAAATTTACAAAGATGATGTTTTGTTGAATTGAGAAACTCTCTATGAAGAGGCACTTATAGAATTGGTCTTTTTAATGATAATAGTGATAGTTAAAACAAATTTTGTGAACTTGTTTAGTGTCACAAAGGTTTTGCGGGGGAAACCACTTTCCACTAATCAATGAAGTGGTAATCCAAATCCTATAAGGAAAGGTTAAGGGAATTATTTCAAGTACAACTGCTTAGTGCGTGGAATCTACTGGAAGCAGCGATGAGTGAATTGTTAGTAACTTTCAGAAGTGAAATGGATAAGTTTGAATACGACTATGAAAAGGCCAGAAAAGTGAAACAAATTGACAATTTTATTTCAGATGCACGATGAGCTGGATGACCATCAGCACTGTAAATTTCAGGAATCTATTTATGCTTGCAATCTGGTTAGAGCATCTGTGCAGTTAAATAGCCGTGATTGTGTGGGATTCTATCACAAAATGGTGACAGAAGGAGACAGTGTCCTCATGTTCAATATTTCTGTCTCTTTTTGCCAATGTTAACCCTGAAAGAAATGGAGACAACTAGAAACTTTACTATGTTGTCACTCTCTGGCACCAAAATGGCGTTCTTTGGTTTTTTTCAGCCTAATCAAATGTCCTTGATACAAAGGCAACACTTTGCAGGTGCAGGAAGTCTGAACTTAAAGTAAAACTTTGGAAAAAATCTCAGCAGGTCTTAGAGCACTTTTGGAGAGAGAAGACAGTTAAAATTTCAAGTCCAATGTGACTGTTCTATGGAACTGATGTGGTTCTGATCATGTTTTGACATTTTGCATTTATTTGCAGGCTGCTATTAATGGAATAATTCCACAAGAGAATGGCATTTTACAGACGTAAGTAACCTTTACATGTTTTTTGTATATTTAAAATTCTTGTACAGATTTTTCAGATATTGAAGTATAAAAGTTTGAAAAGACTTTTGCTTGGTAAAATTGCATTTGCTAAGGTGAAGAGTCCTGGAGTTTTATATTTTCTAAATGGAGATGCTGTTTAGTATCAACTTAAATAATGTCTTTGACATTTTCTTTCATTGTCCTCTTGTAAATACTGATCTAGTAAGTATTTAAACATTAAAAAAACGCTGTCAAGATTTCGCAGCCAAGGCCCACGTCTGTTGAGAGAGAAACAGTTCAAGTTTCAGGTTAATGACCTTTCATCAGAACCTGGGATAAGCTAGAAATGTGCTGGGTTTTAACTAAGTGGAAGGGGAATGTGGATGAGGCTTTGATAGAGTGGAAGACAGGAGAAATTAAATGACAAAAGAGTTAATTGTGCAAGACCAAAGGGAGTGGTGTTGGGGCAAGAAAATATGCAACTAGAGAAGTTATAAATGACAGAATGACCAACAGTTGATGTCCAAAACCAAAAACCATAGAAAAGTTAAATGAAACCTCCAAACAGAGAGGAAACAAAATGTGGGAAGAGGCTATGGTCTGAAATTGTTGCATTGTATTGAGCCTAGTAAGCTGCACAATGCCTAATGGAAAGATGAGGTGCATTTTCTTGGGCATACATTGATATTTGCTGGGACTGTAAAAGAGGTCAAAGACAGAGATGTCATCATATGAGCAAGGTGGGTGATGGGAAGCTTGGGGATCACAATTCAAACTGAAAGGAAGTATTCCACAGACTGATCAGTTTGTCTGCATTTGAACTCTCCAGTGTAGAACAGGCTACTTTGTCAACAGTGGATACATATACTAAGCTGGAAGAAGTACTTAAATTGCATATTCTTTTGAAAGGTCTTGGCAGGTGAGAGAAGAGGTCAAAGAGTTGGAGTCATTGGAAGGGTGTTATGGAGACAATGGAGAATGCTGAAGGGGAGAGCAATGTACATTTGGTGCAACTCTCTCGAGGTAGCAGAAATAATAAGGAATAATCAGTTGAATACAAGGATGATACAGTACAAGCTGAGGACCAGATGAACCCAGTCTTGGTTTTGTAATGCAGATGAAGTGGTGAGAGCAAAATATTAGAATGGAATAGACATGTTCAAAGACCCTGTCATCCATGGTGAGGAGGATTCCTTGAATGAGGTGTTTTGGTCTTGGTAGAGAACAATTATGTATTTGTTTTTAGAATCTGAAAATCCAGGTATTTACTAAAATAGTGAAACCACAAAACTTACTGTTAAAATCAAAAGAATTTTACTACAGAAACATCAGTGAACACAAATACCAATTAATATACTTAATCTTGAAATAGTAAGTTTTATTAGAAGTCATAATATATTCAACTCATTTACACAAAACTTTAATTGCAAGTTTAAACCAAAAAAAGGCACACCCTTTAAGCTTTTCCCCTCAATAAGGTATGATGCTTAGAAAACTTGGAAGATTAACCAGCTGGTCCGAGTACTGCTTTAAACCTTTGTTTAGAGCTTACAATTTCTCAAGCTTTCTGATTACTTCTGGAAAGGTACTCTTTTTATGTCTCATCCAACTGTCTTGTGGTTGTATTTTCCCAATTTGTCATAGATGTTTTGAATGCAGAACTAACCTTTACACACTTGGTGCTTTTGCTCTTTCTCAGCTTGTGTATCCCAGAAGTTCAACTCCTTGTTAGGAATCCTTCAGTTAACAAGAGGTTAAATTCTTTCAGCCAACATGTACAATTTCAACTGAAGTTACAGAGTCGTACAGCGTAGAAATGGGCCCTTCAACCCATTATGTCTATGTCTATGTCGATGTTGAACAATAAACACCAACTTCTACTAATCCCATGTAATTGCACTTGGTCCATAGTCTAATATGTCCTAGCATTTTGAGTGCTCATCCAGATGCTTCTTAAATCTTGTGGGAGTATCTGCTTCCACCATCCTCTGAGGCAGCATGTTCATATGGGTGAAAACACTTTTCTTCAGATCCTCTCTTAAACCACTTTTTCCTCACTTGAAACTTATAGTCTCTGGTCATAGACACATCTGCCATCGGGAAAGATTCTCATGATCTACCCTATCTATGCCTCTCATAATTTTGTATACCTCAATCAGACCGCTCCTCTTGGGAATTTAAACCCAGCCTATCCAGTCTCTTCACATCCCAGACAACATCCGGGTGAATCTCCTCTGCACCATCTCCAGTGCAGTCTCTTTATGGGGAGGTGATGGCTGAGTGGTGTTATTGCTGGCCTGTTAATCCAGAAATCCAGGAATGTTCTGGGGACCTGGGATCACAACCAGCCATGGCAGATGGTGGAGTTTGAATTCAGAAGATAGGAATCTGGAATTAAGATTCTGATGATGACCATGAATCCATTGTCGATTTTGGGAAAGCCCATTTGGTTCACTAATGTCCTCGGAGAAGGAAATCTGCCATCCTTAGCTGGTCTGGCCTACATGTGACTCGAGATCCATGCAATGTGGTTGACTTTTAACTGCCCTCTGGACAATAAATGCTGGCTTAGCCCGTGTTGCCCTTATCCCGTGAATGAATTAAAAAAATATATTCCTGCCCATAATGTTGATACCGGAACTGTGTACAGTATTCCATCTGTGGCTTAACCTATAAAGTTGCAAAAAGACTTTCTTGCTCCTATATTCTATGCTCTGGCTACTGAAGGCAAGCATCTTGTATGCCTTTTTCACCACCCTGCCTATCTGTGCTGACACCTTCAAAGATCTATGGATTTATACACCAAGGTCTCTTTGTTCCTAGGGACCTACCATTTATTGTTTATATTCTTCCCTTATTAGACCTCCCAAAATACATCACCTCATACTTATCAGAATTAAACTCCACCTGCTATTGCTCTGCACAACATAGCAGCTGATCAATAACATCTCCAATTTTCATGCCATCTGCAAACTTGCTAATTGTACTTGCTACTTTCCCATCCAAGCGATTAATGTACGAAGCAAACAGCAAGGGTCACAGCACACGAAATCTGTAGTACACCGCTGGTCACAGGCTTCCAATCACATGGGGAAAGATTCTCATCATCTATCCTATCTGTGCCTCTCATAATTTTGTATACCTCAAGCAGATCACCCTTTTGCTCCACAGAAAACAAACCCAGCCTATTAGTCTCTCCACATAACTGAGACTTTCCACATTTTACTCCACCATTACCTTTTCCCTTCTATTTGTCAGCAGATTTTGGATCCAGTTTATCAACTTGCCTTGGACCCCATCGGGTCTTATCTTTTGAACCAGCATTCCATAGGGGACCTTGTCAAAGGCCATACTGAAGTCCATGTAAACTGCATCAATTTCACTACCTTCATCAATATATTTAGTCCCCTTTCAAAAAAAATTCGGATGGAATCTCCCTCTAACAAATCTGTGTTGACTATCCCTGATCAATCCCTGCCTTTCTAAGGAACAAAAACAAAGTTGCTGGAAAAGCTCAGCAGGTCTGGCAGCATCTATGAAGGGAAAATCAGAGTTAACATTTCGGGTCCGGTGACCCTTCCTCAGAACTGCCTTTCTAAATATTGATTAACCCTGTCCTTCAGAATTTTTTCCAATAATATTTTCCAGTATCACTGACATCAGACTAACTGGCCTGTAATTATCTGGCCTATCCCTGCTGCCCTTCTTGAACAAATGAACCATAACAGCTTATCCTCCAGGCATCTGGCATTTCACCTGTGGCCAGTGAAGTGTTAAATATTCCTGCCAGGCCCACAGTGATCTCCCCGTTACCTCGCATAGCAATCTGGGATACATCTCATTAGGCCCTCAAGATTTGTACACCTTTATGCTCAGTAAAACGTCTAATATCACCTTCTTATTAATCTTAACATGTTCTAGAACCCACCATCCCAACTGAAATCTCCAGCTACAATGCCTTTTTCTTCTGTGAATACAGATGAGAAATATTTAAGAAATATTTAATGAGTCCAGTGGCTCCACACACAGATTGCTGCTTTGGTCTCTCGTAGATCCCATTCTTTCCCTAGTCATCCTCCTACTGTTAACATATTTATAAAATGCCTTGGAGTTTTCCTTAATCCGATCTGTAAAAGATATTTCATGGCCCCTCTTTGTCCTTATAATTTCTTTCTTAAGCAGCCCTCTGCACACGCTATACTCCTGAATGGCCGCCTCTGTTTTTAATGCTCTCGACCTAACATTGCTCCTGTTTGTTTTCTTTATCAAACTCTCGGTATTCCTTGACATCCAGGGTTCCTTGAACTTGCTGCCCTGGCCCTTCACTCTTAGAAGAACACACTAGCGCTGAACTCTCCTTATACTACTTTTAAAAGACTCCCAGTTTCCAAATGTAGACTTACCTGCAAGTAGACATTCACACTATGTTTGCGAAAAACTGTCTAAAGATATTGAAATTGGCCTTCTCCCAGTTTAAACACTTAACTTCTGCACTATCCTATCCCTTTCCATAATAATTTTGAAACTTAGAATTATGGTCATTATCCTCAAAATGCTCACCCACTGATGCCTCAACCACTTAACTGGATTCATTCCATAGGATTAGATCTAGCACTGCCCCTTTCCTGGAAGACTACTTATGTATTGGCATAAGTCAGAATTTTTTCTCTTCTGAGCTGGCTTTATCTAAATCCTTGCAGGCTTGAATCCAGAATCACGCTCCTAAAAATATGTTTGATTTTTTCTCTATATTATTTATCTTCCAGGAAATCTGGTCAAGTGATCATGTATTGTAATCCCAATGCATTACCAGAAATTGTAGCCCAGAGAAACCGAGTTCTTAAAGGGATCATCACCCCAACACAAGATATTAGTTTTTTTTTGTCGCAAAAGCATTTGGACCATCACAGACAGAAAGGAAGACCTAACCTGAAGCACTGACATAAATGTTTCATCATCAGAAAATTGTAACAACCAGAGAGGTTGAAAGAATGGAATGG